CTCACACACACACCCACACACACACACACACACACAGAGACATGTGCCTGATTCTATGATCTGTGAGATCCCTGCAGCAGCTTCCACAGGGAGATTGCTGGAGACATAAATATCAAATGTGTTATGCTGCCAATAAAAGAGAAATATGCCTACAGAATTTACAGCTAAAATAACTTGGTTAAGTCTGAGTATCATGCAGATAGACTTGATGGAGATGTGAATAATTTTCTGCTGTAACTCAGGCAGCAAAGCTTCTTGGGTTGGCCCTAACAAGTTTCAAAATGAAGCTGGAGTACTTCTTTCACTGTTTTGTACATGCACCACAAACATGCAGAGAGGCATTCCTGATGGCCTCCTGAAGCTTCCTCTAGTGGAACAAGGGGAAATATCTTTGGAAGGAAAAATGTTGAAACTGAGGCTGTCCTACTTTGGGCACACCATGAGAAGACAGGATTCTCTGGAAAAGGAAATAATGCTGGGAAAGATGGAAGGAAGACCAAATAAGAGATGAGTTGACTCCCTTAAGGAAGCCACAGGATTGAATCTACAATTGCACAGCAGGTCGGCCGTGGACAGGACATTTTGGAGATCCTTCATTCATAGTCACCATATCTCAGAGGCAACTTGGCAGCACATAACAGCAACAACAATAACAACCAGATGTGGGACAGATCACCTTTCTCACCTGGGCAGCTCCTTTAAGAGCCAGGATTAGGCAGCCCAGTATCACGGCCACGTTTTGCATCTTTGGGGTTCTGCGTTTCATCCTGAGCCTCTCTTGTTAAAAGAATTGCAATCGGTGGGACTTGCAAAGAACCACCTACCTGACAACCTTGCCAATCAATAGGCAAATGCCAATCTGAATCATTATGAGGCAGAAACACTTGTTCCAGTCATAAGAGTACCAAAAAGCAAATCCTACACGAGCTGTATGTAAGCGACCAATGTACCCTGGGCAGAGCAACCAAAAACAAATAAAGAACAAAGCTTTCATAAGGATCCTTATGTACTGAAGTAGCTAAAAAGAAAGGACTTTTATCAAGAGTTCTGTACATAATCAGGGATGCAGAATAGGTGGCTCTTCTAAATGATGTTCTAAGAATAAAATACAAGAAAATGCACCTTACAGAGAATTGCCCACCAGGTAGCACGAAGGACCTACAAACTGGTCCAAAGAAAAGGCAGCCACTAATTGTCTTCTGCTCGTATCACAACTCCTTGCCCAGTCGTCACCTCTTCTGCCCCTTCCTGGCACTCACCATCTGTCGGAAGGCCTTGGAGTCCTTTGTCCGAGGGAACGAGCGCTCGGGCACCCATCGAGGCACCAGCCCCTCTGTAGAATTTGCCTGGGCCCTTTGCAGCTTGGCCAGGATAGCTTTCTCCTCTTTCTGTTGGGGAAAAAAAACAATAAGCAGGAGAGCCGTGGGGGAATGAATGCCCAGCAAAACATATAGCAGAGTAAATTATGCTCCTATGCTTCCTCCCCAATCCATCAGACTCACTCGTTTTTGGCTGCAGCCGACAATGAAGAAGGTCTCGATGTTGTGCTCCTTAAGGTAAGCGTTGCGCTCGCCCCCATGGCCTGGCTCTACTTCATAGTCCTCGTTCAGGTACAGTAAAGTAGCCCGTGTAATGTGGATCCGCCTGTTATCCACAGAACTCTGTTATTCAGGTAAGTCACTTAGGGGAGCCCATCCTCCCTTCCCTCTAAGCAACTTCAAATACTATGATGAAGCCTTTTTTTTTTGTTCCTCCTACACTCAAGCGGAAGATATGGCACAAGGAAAAAGTGATTTGATTCCTGCTTAAGGGATGGCCTGGGCAAACAGGTCAGGATGGGGCAGGTAAGCAGCAAGGAGGAGATCGTAGTAGAAGCTTAGGGAAGGTGAGGTCGCACCTGATGAGGGAGAAAAATCTTGAAGGAATAGTTTGAGTACATGAGATAGAAAAGCTTTTCCAGCAGCACAAAAGAAAGAATAGAACTAAAGCAGCATAGAGCCAAAGGGAGAGCAGAATAGATAACCTTCTGTGGATCAGAAAACACAAGACGGGGAGCCGTGAGGCAGAGCTTACAAGAACACAACACAAGTAGCCATGTTACTTATCATGTGTTTTTTCATGTTTGTAGCAGCCTTAAAAAAATTATGTGCCATCAAACTATTTCTGATTTATGGTAACCCTAAAAAGGGGTTTCAACCTGTGTAGGATGTTAAACTGGTGGTTTACCATGGCCATCCTTTAGTTCGGCCAAGAAGGATTTGGCGGAGTGTGGTCTGAACTCAGGCTTCCTAAGACCTAGTCCAACACTCTATGTACTACATCACGATGGCTCTAACATTTTAAGCATTTTGTAAAAAAGTAACGTGACAATTAGTTTTCCATAACTTTGGTTGGTGATGGCTAATGTTTACTTGTAGCTTTAAAACTGTCTGTTTTGAGGATCATCAGAGGGCATTTTTACCTTAGCATCTTCCATTTAAAAAAACCCTGAATGAAATCTGTAACAATTAAAGATCAAAATTCATGCATAAAGTATTGAGTAAGGTATCCTTTTAATCCCCCAAAGGTCAGAACTGCTAATACATTACAATAAAAAAGCACCCAAACCCAAATAATTCTAAGCTCCGAGAGAGGTGAACTGGAGCAGAAGGGGAGACCAGCGTCAGGGCCAAAACTGTCCAGGGCAGCACTGGAAGTCAGAAAGCAGCCAGCAGCTGGAAGGATCAAAACAGAAATTCACTATATTGGGTTAAGGCAGTGGTTCCCAAACTTGGGGCTCCAAATGTCCTTGAACTGCAACTCCCAGAAATCCTAGCCGGTACAGTTAGTGGTGAAGGCTACTGGGAGTTGCAATCCAGGAACATTTGGGGACTCCAGGTTGGGAACCACCCATTAAGGCAATGACTCTCAAGTGTAAAGAACCTCAGTGCTTATGCACACTGACGTCTCCATTACACCAAGCCTGCTTATTTGCATTAAAGTGATGAACTATACTAGACAAAATGGAAGCTTTGTTCAAGGTTTAATTGCCACACTGTCCGGGGGAGAAAGAGTAGAGTAGAACGGAAGGACATGAGGATGCATGAGAAAGAGGTTGCAGGGCTCTGTCTCAACTCACCACTTCTGCCACTTCACCAGCCACGCGGTTGGCACACTCTCCCCTTCCAGTCATCCCACAGGGAATGCTGAACATAGCGAAGGAGTTCTCGAGCTGACAGAAAAAAAACCCACCCCCACTCCCCAGGGCCAAGCCTTCCTCTTCACTGAACTAAACTTGGGAGGCCCCAACTTACCCAGCTTTGCCACCAGCCTCCATGTGGTTGGCCAGGGTGACGTCATTGGACCAGACATCAAACTGCCACTTGCGCAGCCCAAGGACGCCGCAGTGTACACGGCCGCTGTGGATCCCAACGCGCATGTTCACATTCACGCCTGTCACCTCTCTCACCAGCCTGGAAGTAGGATAATGGAATGAGCATCAATCTCACTCTTACTCTCAAGTCTCTCAGACACATGTGGCACACACAGAGCTAACAAAACGCAGAAAGGCACGTGGAATTATCAGGCTGACAAAGAAAAGCTTGTTTCATCTGTATAAATAACCATACAGTGCGTATGATGCCATACAAAGTATGGGGACAGGTTCCCACAAGAAGCCTGCAGTTTGAAATAAAGAGGGCACCAGGGTGGTGGCAGTGGTGGGGAGGAGAATGGTTTAAAACCTGCACGCCAGAATGGGAAATAAGCTTGTTTGGGTACATGGAACAGTGCTAGAAGGAAAAAGAACTCAAGACCAATAAACTTCTTTTTCTAATAAAGTTCAGTTCAATAGATGATACAAGGTCAAGAAGAACAAGACCAATGTATGAATGGATGATCATCTCAACAAAGTGACATCACTGTATTCTGGTAAATATTACCCCATTTGTACAGCTACATGAGGGTGGGAAAAGTGCAGATGTGGGCTTCCAGCACATCCTGCTCCCAACCTCGCCAATTTTTAAAAAAATGTGTTTGGCTCCAGAATGGCTAATTGTGCCCCCAGAAGACTTTGTGTTACACTCCACCCCCACCCCAGAAAGGCTGTTTTTAGGTTGGTTTCTGAAAAAAGAAAGTCTTTATCTTACCAAAAACAGAGGCTTCTGCTGGTGCACTGATATAATAATAGCCTTAGGACTGCAGAGCTGGAAGGGACCGTATGGACCATCAATTCCAGCCCCTGTTGAGGAGGCACAGTGGAGAACTGAACTCCCAACCTCTGGCTTTGCAGCCAGAAACCTAAAACACTGAGCGACCCAACAGTTCTCTACTGGCTCCGCAGAGAACCAGGAGGATACGGAAACACTATTTCCATCTGCTCTGACCTCAAATCTTTAAGACAGCCATCATCTCTTATCATTGACCATCCTAATTAGGGATGAAGGGGGTTGTAATCCAAAACATCTGGAGTACACCACACAGGAGAAAGATCTTCTACATGCTGTTGTTATCATCAGCTGCATAATAGCTCACCAGAGAGGTTTTTCCCAACCCACTACCAGGCTCTATTTTTGGATGTTTACACATAGTAGGTTGACTTCTGGAAAAGGAATTATTTTGCTCGCTGCTATGCAGAGTTAAGGAAAACAATATCATCACAGAGAGTAGCTTATTATAATTATCACTAACATGATTCTAATAAAAGGAACTCCTGAAATGGTTTCTAGCTGGCTCCACAGAAGCCAACGGTGTGAATGTTACAAGCGAAGTTTCAAGGGATACCTCTGGAAATTTGCAAGACTTCTGCACAGACTTGCCACTTCATATGGAAAAAAACGGCTCTCCTCCCTTCCTCCTTTATGACCTCAACCACTATAGAGAAGCATGTGAGTGAGCATCCAGTGATTAAAGGCCTTAGAAGTGGAAACAAAACGAGAAGAAAGCTGGAACTGGGGAAAGCAACTTGGCAGGAAAAAGAGCAGAGCCTCAGGAGACGAGACCCAGCTGCAGCAAAGAGTCTGGGAACCCGCACAGTGTGGAGGAGAACCAGGATGCACATTCTAGAACTTGGACCAAGAAGGTTAAGAAGGTTAATCTGGCAATAACTGAAGAGTGAGCACATTCAACAGACAGGAGGACAAAAATGTCTGGGGCAGTCTCTTGAAGCACATTCATCCACGAGGATGTCAGCAAAGAGATGCACCCTGTTTCAAACAAACTAAGTTTTTCTTGCAGTGAATCGAGGAAGCCACCTCAGTTTTTAAGAAAAGCAGCGCTGTTTCCTCAGAAGTGAACCGGATGCCTCGGGAAGTCCACAAGCAAGACATGAGTGGACCTGGGAATGACAAGCCTACTGCTCTAATACCAAAGATAATGGCTGGAATCCTATTGCCTAGCTAGGTAAATGGCATGCATTGTGGAGGTAAAGTGCTCCATATTAAGAAATCACTGTAGACATTATCAGCTGCATGCTGAGTCATGCAACTCAGTATGCAACTGATGATGTCTACAGTGATTTCTTAGCCTCCAAAAGTTATGCCATTTGTGCTATGCCGGTGTAACTAGGTAAGACAATTTGGGCCAATATATAGCTACTGCAACTAGGAACTACCAACAGCCTTCTCCTACATAATTTTTCCTAACCCAAACTGGCAGCCATCACTACTTTTACAAGACTTTACTCAGCACACATTCTTTATTACAATATTTGGATATATTGACAAATGACAAGGAATATATTTTGGGAAAAACAATAAGGAGACACATTTACTGGAGAAGAACAGTAAAGCCAACAAGCACAAGACTAGTAAATAAAGAGAAACAGGGAAATAGTTCAGACATTTCTCACAGGAATCCTGCAAAATGCCCTTGGCTAGTTCACGATCCTTCACAAGCATTTCAAGCCTTTTTCTAATAATTTTCTTCAAAATTATAGGGACTAGTATCTTGGTGTTAAGAAATCAGCTTCAACCACTATGTATTCGCGAAGGCTTTCATGGCCAGGATCTAATGGTTGTTGTGGGTTTTTCGGGCTCTTTGGCCATGTTCTTCCTAACGTTTCACCAGTCTCTGTGGCCGACATCTTCAGAGGACAGCACTCTGCTGTCCTCTGAAGATGCCAGCCACAGAGACTGGTGAAACTTTAGGAAGAATAACCTTCAGAACATGACCAAAGAACCCGAAAAACCCACAACAGCCATTCAACCACTATCTTGCTGTTTTGAAATTAGCTTCTGGTATAGTACAGGTCAACATACATCACAACTATGAAGCCCCTTTTGTGATGCCAACAACGTTCCTGGCATTTATAACAACAAAAGATCTCATGGATCACCTCAAAGCCTAACTGGTTTTATTGGGAAGATGTTTTTGTGGACTGCACCCTCTCCTGTGTGAGGAAATGGATTTCCAGAAGCTTACACCAAATGGAACTTTTAAAGTTGCAGCAAAACTGTTCTGTTGGTTTTGCTACAATACATACATACATACACACACACAGAGAGAGAGAGAGAGAGAGAGAGAGAGAGAGAGATCCTGTGACACAATATTGTTCTTCCATCAAGAAGCGGCTTATAATTTATGGGTCTGCCATAAATTTTGCTGGGTTCACCCCTCACACCCACCCCATCTAGAGTGGCTAAGGGCAAGGCAATGTGCAATGTGGGAGCGGCAAATGCCTAAAATGTCCCGGAGGCGAAAAGGCTACCCCTTTCCTCAGTCTATCAGTCTCAGATAAAACCACTCTTGGTTTTTGGTGCAAGTTCCAGCTTCATGTTATCTGTCCCTTGAGCTGCATTTCTCTTTCTTCCCTACTACTATCTAAACAGAACAGAGTCGATCTAACACAGACACATTGGGTAGACCCCACAGCTATACCACACATGTTGAGAGTTGACAATGACTCCAGAACTGACAGTCTTTGAGGACACTGGCTTTCACATCTTTGGGGGGAAAAGGAAATTTCTAGACCATATGGCTGTAAAGATTATCTCAACAATGTTTGGGCATTACTGGGCAAAATTTCAGGAGGAACAGGATGAATGAGAGGAGCGGGTAAAAAGACTGGCATTCAGCAGGACTTTCCAGGGCTTTGAAGGGAAGACAGGACAACACAAGGCAACACCCTCCTCTACCCTACCAGCCCAAATATTACTTCAGGAATTATGGGGAAGAAATGGATGCTTTCACAATTTCTTCAGTTTCACAATTTGGCTTAAACTGCTCTGTTTCAGAGCATGCATAGCACCAGCCATGGTATCTCATGTAAACTATCATTGCTCCAGGATCTACTGAACAACAGCTGCGGACACTATCAACTTATCAAAGCATTTGGCAATTGATATAAACTAAGTTTCTCTACAGCCAACTAACAAATTTGATTTTCTGCAGTACAGAAGGCAGTTTTGGAACCAAGTATGGAAGTAATGCATCTCAAGTAAAAATATTACCCATAATGTGCTGCAGGTTTTTTAAACATAAAGGAGAGGCCATCAACCAGGACCTTGACCACCATCTTCCCTCAGATTGAGCCAAGACGTCCACTGTGCTGCCTAGTCCAATGACTTTAACACAATTTCAGCCTGTAATGTCAGCTGAGGTTGATAGGGTGCTTGACTGCTATAGGGTTACCACAGACTCCCTAGATCCTTGCCTAGCCTTGCTCATAAAAGCTGCCAGGTCTGGAACAATGGAATGGGCCATGGCCATCATTAATGAGTCTTTCCTTGAGGACAGGGTACCCCGTGCCCTCAAGGAGACACTCATTAGGCCCATCTGTAAAAAAAACCCAGGCTTGGCAATGGATGACATTACCAACTAAGTATAGACCGACAAACCCAGGCTTGGCAATGGATGACATTACTAAGTATAGAACCATCACCAATGTTCCTTTCTTAAGCAAGCTAGTGGACAGTGGTGGCCGATCAGCTACAGGCACTCCTGGACGAGACCAACTCCCTCGACCCTTTCCAGTCTGGGTTCAGGCATGGAAACTGCATTGGTCACCTTGCAAGATGACCTTTTGAAGGAGACTGACAGGGCAAAATGTCCCTGCTGGTCCTCCCTAACCTCTCAGTGGCCTTCAATACCATCAACCACTGTATCTTCCTAGGTAGGCTCTCTGGGTTGGGGATTGGTGACCTGACTTTGTCCTGGCTCCGGTCCTTTCTAGAGGAATGCCCTCAGAGAGTGCAGATTGGGGAGATGATGCCCACCCCTTGAACTCAGTTGTGGAGTCCCACAGGGGTTGATCATCTTCCCATTACTGTTTAATAGCTATATGTGGCCGCTGGGGGAGGTCATCAGGTGTTTTGGAGCTTTGTGTCACCAATACAGTGGGGTCTTGACCTGAGAACTTAATCCGTATTGGAAGGCGGTTCTCAAGTCAAAAAGTCAGTAAGTCAAGTCTCCATTGACCTACAGTGCATTGAAAACCGATTAATCCCATAACAGGCCATTTTTGTTCCATTTTGGTTTTTTTCTGGTCTGTAAGTCAAATCTCAGTCTGCAAGTCAAACCTAAATTTTGCGGCCAGAGAAGTCTGTAACTCAAAAAGTCTGTAAGTCAAGCCGTCTGTAAGTCAAGGGTCCACTGTATGTAGATGGCATCCAGCTCTATCTCTCCTTCCACCCTTCTGCAGTGGACGCCAATCCCTTGAGTGCTCCTGAGGAGGATGAGGGATAACAGGCTGAGGCTGAACCTGGACAAGACAGAGGTTCTGTGGGTGGGTGCCTCCGTCTGTGGTTTGGGGGCCTCCTTTTCTTTTACGAGTGGCTACTCTCTCCAATAAGAATGAGATTCATAGTCTGGACATACTTTGGGACTCAGTGCTATCAGTGGAGTTCCAGGTAGCGTCTGTGGTCCATTTCATCTTTTCCCACTTGAGGCACATTACCCATCTGAATCCATACCCTGACACTGGGCTCTTCACCATGCATGGTCCATGCTCTGGTAGTCTCAAGATCAGACTATTGTAATGCTCTTTATCTGGGGCTGCCCATGAAGCTGCTATGGAAACTCTCTCTCTCTCTCTCTCTCTTACACACCTACACCCACACATGCACACGCACATGCCAGCTAAGGATAAGATTGGTCCATGCATCTGATGAACTGCGGTCCAATCAAAAGAGCTTGCACATTTGTAAAGCTAAATCAGTTCATCTTTAGGGTGCTTCAGGATACTGAATGGCTTTTATTAGGACAGACTAATACAGCTACCTCTCTGGGGACTTGTCACAAAGAGCAATGGTCACTGGCCACCCCAAGAGCATGTGCAACCCTTGCAAGCCAAGCCTCTCCCCATCCCACACTCACGAAATGGCCTCGATCATGTCAACGCCCATCTCAACGCAGCAATGGGCATGGTCCGCCCGTGGTTCTGGGAGCCCCGAGACACAGTAGTAGCAATCCCCAAGGATCTTGATGCGCAAGCAATGATTCTCCTGGAAAAAAAAGGAGGGGTGAGATTTAAAAATGCCACCATCCCTGACATGATCCCTTTCCCCCTCTATGAAGTTCTTTTCTCAGTCTAATATTTTCTGAACAGGAAACTGGGGAGGATGGGACTATGGGAGGTTGAACATCTATGATGACTAGGGGTATGCCTTGCTATATAACTGTATATATGTTAACTTTGGGGGAGAAGTTAACATTACTCTTTCCTTAGAAGTAGGTGCTGCATGTCTCTATAATGGCTACAAGCCAACTTGTACCCACAAAAGCCAGTCTTCTCGAAAGATAAGTTAGTATTTTCCTTCTTCTGACTTATTTCTGAATGGATTATCTAGAAGTAAGAAAAAGATGTCGCTAAGTATTTACTTCTTGCAACTTCTTCCGGCAACAACTGTCACTGTGCTCTGTCCAGCATTAGTATAAATGTTGGGGGAGGGGAAATAACAAGGAGGAGAAATATAGGACCATGAAGGCAGCTGGAGCAAAAGCAGGGAACAGACAGAGTCCAGGCTTGATATGGGGTTCTTTGGCAAAGTGAAGTTATCTGGTGGGCCTCCTGGACAAGAACAGAGCAGAAGTGAAGAGGTGGCTTCTCTGGGTCTTCAGGAGTGTGAGAGACAGCAGCGAAACACTTCATTTCCAGACTTCCCTCCACAGGCCCTTCGCATGAGACACTACACCTCCTCTCCTCCAGGTCTAGTCTACTCACCCCACTTCTCTTTCCTCACTTACCGCGGCCAACTTGTCAAAACGGGCAAAGAGCTCATTCAAGGTCATGACCAGTTCCTGCGCTGTACATTGGGAGGCCAAGCTAGTGAAACCCTCTATGTCAGCAAACAGGATGCTATTGGAGGGAGAAGGAAAAAGGAGGGAAGTGAATTTACAAATCATCCTGTTGCCAAAAGCTTCTAAGTCCATCTCTTACCTGGCTTAGTAAGGCCAGCCTGACCCCACCTTTTACCCTAAAATGAAGCATTCTACAGTAAAAAGTGTCCTCGTACTCATAGCAGGGTGCCCTTCAATTAACTCATTTAATGACCACTCCCAGGTGCAGGTGTGAACACCACAACCCTCAATAGCTTAGTACCTGACGTTGTCATGTTTCTGGATGTAGATCTTGTGGAACATCATATCCTCCTTCTTGGTGTTGATGTCCTCCTTCATCTCCATGGCAACATGCTGAGGCAGTACAGACAGCAGGAGTCGCTCCTGCATGCAGGGAGAAAGGCCCACTACAGTTTTCCTCAAGCCAAGAAATTCACCACAAAATGATAATGACCAGGAAAGCCCCAGATCCTTTTTCTAGTCTTATTAAAGCAATGCCATTCCTCTCATGCCTCCTGTCATCTCGAGTCTCTCATTCCACTTGCTTCCATTCACAGCTGCCCCAAACTGGCCAGCCATGTCCAAGCAGCATGGGCACTTTACTGGAGCCTGTAGCACTGGGGACTTTAGTCCAAGATATTTCCCCTTACTCTGTGGGGAAGAGCCTGAGTCTAAATTACTGACCATGTTTGAGGATAATTTATAGGAACTTATTTCTCTGTTATCTACAGTCCAGATCTTTTGAGATCTGTTGGAATGAGACAGAAGCAGAGCTAAGAACTCTACAAGAAACATTCTGAACAGGGAGTTCCTGGCCCAGGTCCTTCTCTGGAGTAGAGACAGTCTGTTCTGTGCCATTAAATTACAGCTTGCAGTCTGAGAAACTGGAGATTCAGATAGTCGGAGCCAGATTTATAGACCCCAGATATAACTACATGTGCAGTACATACATAAACATATTGCACGTGCATATGAACGTGTACCATTTTTGAAACAGAGTGGTCGTTTCGACCAGATAGGCGGGGTATAAATAGAATAAATAAATAAAAATAAATAAATAAAATAAATAAATATTGCTTACATGCTACTTTTTGGTTACATCTTGAATTTATTTTCTTACTTCACTTTAAAACTAACAAATATGGATCAAAAGAATCAATAGCTTCTGAAGTAATGAGAAGTTATTTATCAGACTTTTTCTTGAAAAAAAGTGACATAGGTGGTTGTGTGTGTTAAAAACTCAGGGCCCAGTCGACAAGGTCTCAAGTCTCTATTGTGCTCTTCTCCATGAGGAGTGAATTCACCCCGGTATCAACCTAGTAACAGCAGAAACTTGAGGCCAAAGCTAGAATTTTAAGGGTCCTCACAGATTGAGGACCAAGTTTTGCCAAACCTCAGTTCCCCATAAATGCGGCAACCCAAACCTGGCCACAATGGTGACTCCCACCTGTTGACGGTTTTCACGCTGCAGGTGCAGCCGCGCCTGAATGTAGCCTCGGGTCTCCTGGAAGGCCTGACGCTGCGACACCTCAGCAGGATAGTGGGTGCAGATGCCAATGATATTGGTACAGAGGAAGATCAAAATGTTGGCACCAAGCTGCAAGCAGAACAGGAAACCAAGTTAAATGGGTACAGGAGAAACAAAGGTTTCCTAACTCAAGCAGTGTTTCTCCTTATCTATCTTTCAACACAAAACCTAGATCACCAGGAGGCAAGTTCAGCTTTCAACACCACTTTCAGATATACGTATAAACAACGAAGGACCAACCCCCCCCCGCCCCAAAGGCAGGTCCCCTCCCTAAAGAATGAATTAGAAGCTTTGTCTGAAAACATCGTTCTGGCCTATAAAGGGGTCTTTGTACTTCCCCTCCCTTTCCATGGCTGCTCAGGATACCAAACGGGTGAGTGGGTGGCTGGAGGATCCCAGTATTGTGGCTTCGGAGACAGAGAGTGGGAGCAAGATGAAAACATTTCACTGAAATCCACATTTGGAGCAGGCAAAGAAGAAAGACAAAGTATGGTCAAGTATTTTTTAAAAAATATATCACCTCCCTACATAATTTATTTGTTTAAATTATTTATAGGCTGCCTATAGGGGACCCAAGGTGGCTCACAACAGGTAAAATAAGGAATTTTAAAACACTATATAAATATCACAAAATACAATTAAACATACATTAAGATTAAAATAATCAAGTATAAAAACAATTAAAATGCATTTAAAACTTATAAATTAAAACCCAGCATTACTGAGACAACTTCCTGCTTAAAGACCTGCCTGGTTGTTTGCCTAATGACTGAAGGTCAAGAGGGAGGGGAATCAACGTGGCTTCTCAGGGCACTGCCATCCAAAGCCTGGGAGCAGCCACTAAGAAGGCCCTCTGCAGAAGATCTTAAAAGCTTGGGAAAGTGGTGGAACCAAGAGAAGGGTCGCCCCAGAAGATCTTAAAAGCTGAGAAGACTCATATGGGGTGATACAATCCTTCAAATAGTCTGGATCCAAGCCTTATAGGTAACAACCAGCACTTTGAACTGGGCCCTGAAACAGACTGGAAGCTAGTGAAGCTGTTGTAATAAGGAAGTTACATGCTCCCTATAGCCAGCACCAGTCAACAGTCTGACTGCAGGATTTTGAGCCAGCTGAAGTTTCTGGGATGTGGTGGCACTGCGGGCTAAACCGCAGAAGCCTGTGCTGCAGGGTCAGAAGACCAAGCAGTTGTAAGATCGAATCCACGCGGCGGAGTGAGCGCCCGTCGCTTTGTCCCAGCTCCCGCCAACCTAGCGGTTCGAAAGCATGCAAATGCGAGTAGATAAATAGGGACCACCTTGGTGGGAAGGTAACAGCGTTCCATGTCTAAGTCGCACTGGCCATGTGACCACGGAAGATTGTCTTCGGACAAAAACGCTGGCTCTGTGGCTTGGAAACGGGGATGAGCACCGCCCCCTCGAGTCGAACACGACTGGACAAAAATTGTCAAGGGGAACCTTTACCTTTACCTTTGAAGTTTCTGAACATTTTTCAAAGGCAGCCTGATGTACAGTGGGCTACATTAGTCCAAACTAAGGCATGTGTCACTGTGGCCAAATCAGACCATAAGTATTTTCCCAAAGAACTAACCCATAGGGAGGTACACAGGAATAATGGGGCAGGACCTACAGCTCAAAGCACATGCTAAGCCTGTAAAACGCCTCACATGTAACCTTGGACAGGTTCAGCTAACAGTGGCAAGTGACATGGAAGACTCTTCCCTGCTTGAGATGGCAAAAAGCAGTTGCAAGTCACAACAGGCAATATCGAGCAACATACGTAAAAACATTGCCTGATTTGGATTAAAGTATCACCTTGTATTTGTTGTTGTTTTTACGTGCCTTCAAGTCAGAACTGACTTATAGAAACCCTAATAGAGTTTTCAAGTCAAGTGAGATATTTAAGAAGTGATTTTTCCAGTTGTACACCCCTGGTGAGTTTCCATGACTGAAAAGGGGTTCAAACCCAGGCCTCCTGAGTCCTAGTCTATCACTTTATCCACAACACCGTATGTAGCACGCCCATATATTGAAGACTTCAGCACCCGAACTCCATGAACTAGCTACCCATGGGCCGAAGACCTAGACAGACCTTGGCTGTGGAATAGTGGCCAACAGAATGAGACATAGGCCGTAAGGTCATCAACTGATACATCACTTGAACCCATATTTAATTTAAGGTGCCAATATTTTGAGGCACTGCATAAACTTTAAGAAAACAATAAAGTCTCCCAGTTCAGTTGACGGGAGCAGATCCTGCCATTTCTCGTCTCCCTCTGTTGCAGGCAGTCGCACAGCTCTAGCCTATAAGCAGTGTTTTCTCAGCCTTATCTTATCTGCAAATCCAAAGGTAAGAATTAGGCATATGCATTGTTTTCAGGAAAATGTGCAAACCGGACTAAATCAAGATGATTTGTGTAATTGTGGAATGATGTGGTGGAGAAAGAAGATACTGTTTACCCTCAGGGCACAGCAAAACCACAACAGATCCCATTCAGTGTTGGCAAAGTGTAAAAGAGGGCCAACAATGTGAATTTAAAAAAGAAAAAGGAAACTAAAAGAAAAAGACTGAATTGCTGGCACCAAAGGAGATGGTGAGTGACTGCTAATAAAGACTAAGGTGGTAGGGAAAGCTCAGACTGAGGTCACCCTGCAAGGTGTGTAGGCATGTGTATCTTCTTGCAGCTTTTCCATTGACCGCTTTGCAGAGCGCTCAGACAAAGTCAAAAACTTGCACCAAGCTTTTTGAGTCCTGGAACTTTCATCTTTTAATTTCCCCTCTCACTCAACTTAGTTAATAAACTTTATTGAAATATTATTATACTATTAGGATTGAGAGTGTACACAACTGTGGAATCATGATTGTGGCACAGGGCTTTAAGTGGATAGGCCACACAATTAGGGCACTGTATAGTTCCCTCCCCCAGTCATAGGGATTTGCATTTAGCTCCATTTTCTGGCATATTTTGGCCTTTTTAAAAAAAAACCAAAAACAACCTAAGATCTAAAACTATACATATAACATCACAGACCGAGATGAAGTGGGTTGGAATGTGAAAGGGTACAGGTTGGGTTGCCCTGTTCTCTACGCCCTTTATTTGGGTACAGAGTCAATTAGGAGGCTTCTGCACATCCCTAGTAATAACAGAGTCCTACACTGCAGGGCTACTTTTGCTTCGGTAAATATATGGGTTGAACTTGGAAAACTCACTCTGTCAGGATACAGCTCCCCAAAATCCCCCTAACCAGAATGGCCAATCTAGAAGATTTTCAGAGCTGCTCTCAAAAATTTTTTTACTTTTCCCTAGCTCTGCCTTCAACCCACAACCACAACAAGGACAGAAAGAACATTTGCAGAACACCAGGTCACTCTAGGTTTCTTGGCCTCCAGCAGGCAAGCTTTGCGCTGTTCCCCAAAGCTCTCTAAGGCAGATTAAGAGAGTTAAAAGGGCAAGAAGCTAAACCAAACAACGCAGGGCTCCGCACGGATAAAGATTCTGCAGTCTGGTAGCAAAGCAGCTCCATTAGGTTCCAGACACTGAGAGAGAGGGGAGGAAAAAACACACATTCCCTTACCAGCATAGGTTAGCAGCACAGAGGTCTTCCATTACACAATGCAGTTATTAGACCAGAAATAATGTAGAGGTATTTCCTTAAGTAATTGCTACAGGGCTGGAAAACACACCATGTCCAGCTAATCCACAGTAGGTAGTAAGTCTGTCACCTCAGATCAGCCTGACAGAGGCACTAGCTGTTGAGGCTGCAAGGAGAGAGCAGCGATGGACCTTAAGGAAAAGATCTCTCACATGCTTATGGGGTGGAGTGCCTGGTTGGTGCAATAAATTTTCTGCCGCATGGAATACATGAGCTTCAGTGCAGAAAGCCTAGATTTTCATATCTGCTTAGCCGTGAAACTCAGAAGCAGAATACCAGTTTGGCAAATTCGAAGTCCTCTGTTGTTGAGACTGATTTCTTCTGGTCACTTTGAGGTCTCCCCGCGATTCATTTTCACTCTCAGGTATTCACAACCTGAGTTGGGCTCCTTCAACTACATTGGTTGGCCAGGTACATTGGAAGAAAAGGCTGGTGTTCTTTGTCCAAAATCAGTGGGATAGTGAAGCTGCTCGGAGAGCATTCTAGCCATAAACGAGAGTATTCATACTCCAACTGAACCACCCAATGTTGTGACTACACGCCTCCTCTTATCCCTAACCACTGGCCATTCTGGCTGTAGCTGATGGGAGACAGAAGCAAAGAACATATGGATGGCCACCGATCCTCTGCTACAAATGTGCAAATTCTCCACAAAACATTATTATTACTGCTCTGCTCCAGGATTGCTTTCAGTACTATGGAGCCCACAAGTCATGTTAAGGATCCATTCTTTCCCATAGTGCGACTGACTATAGCTGCTGCTTCTGATCTTACCAAGATACAGCCGGTTCTATCCATAGTTATGGAGAAGGGCATAAATCACTCATTTGGAAAAAAAAACATTTTCCCAGGTACACAAAAGAAAGAATTCTCTTTCCATTACCCACGTGCAACTGGACTCTTAGTAAATACTTTCACTCCGTAGACTCTCAAGTTCTGGATGGTGCTGAGTCAAGGTAATTTTCCTTTCCTATTTAAACAGGCTGCAAGAATTCCAAGCATCATATGGGAACTAGTTTTATTTCATGGATTTTTTTTCCTTTTGTACAGTAATGTCAGGTCTTAGAACAAAACAATTTATATATCCTTGAAAGGCTGACAAGAGAAACTGTATTTTTAATCACCTTCAGGAAAAATTGTTTAATATTAAGTGTGAGCAGGACAAAAGGGGCGAGAAAGAGGAAACAAATGGGCAGCATTACTGCAAGTAAATGAAACCAAGGCGAAGACGCAGCAGATGCAAGCATAGCAAGGTGAGAGAGAGAAAAATCTGATTCCTTGCAACCACTGAAACAGTCATCCAGCAGACAGATGACTTTAGAGATGCCAAACTCCATTTTTTTCTACAAGAAAACAATCATCTTTCAGTTTGCAAATCCCAGCAGCCAGCAAAGAAACACTTCCTTTACTTTAAAGAAAAAAACATCCTGCAAATTTTCAGGGATCTGAAGTTTTAAAAACGCATTTCTAAATATATTTCAAAGGCTTACACATACATCATCAAGAGGACCTGGAATATCTCAGATCATTCTATTTAGACATCCTTTTGAGGCTTCTCTGCCTCTCCTCCTTGTTCACACGTTCACTATACAGTACACATTTGAGGTCCAGCATTAATCCCACTGTAGCACAGACTTTCACTATTCCCATGATTTGCGTTTAAGGAGTAAATAATGTAGTAGCTTAAGAACATCATAATTGCAGCACAATTACATAACTTTTCAGCATACTGTACTGAATTCAATGAATTTTAGAAGGATGAAAATATAAGAAAGGGAAAATTGTTTTGTTACTTTGCTTTACAGAGGACAAGGAACATGAGTACAAAGGTGACGCAAGTGTCAATTAACACGGAGAAGCTGAATTTTTCCATTAATCGGTTCAATGAATCTGCACATTTAAATTACACTTCTTGTTTTCACTTCACCAATCAAACAATTTAACAGAGAACCCAATCCAAGAGTTACATCATAAGTATGTAAAAAGTAAGGATAGAGATAAAGTAGGAGGTTTATAGTGCTGACTTTGTAACGACAATAGTATTGTGATGGCACAAGTTAAATCCTCAGGACTTGGGTGTACATAATGGTTTTCTGTAGGGTCCACAAGCTTGTTGTTATTGCCACAGTGCCCTCTGAGACACAAAACAGATAAGGCATTATGCTCCTTTACAGAATTTTTTTTCTATTCATCTTTGGACCGCCACAGAACTCTTTCCCCATACAAATCATTATAAATTTCAACTCCTAATCCATACAGGACTGAAATAAGATCAGAGGCATAACTATTAGGGCCACTGGGACAGAACTGGTGTAAACACACGTGCACACAGATTCATGGAACCTTGGGACATGGGTTATAGAGACCTAGAACAACTAGAGGAGGACAGAAAGTAGAGCACCAAATGCTTCCCCCTCAAAAATCTAAAATTTCCACCCCAACTTCCCCTGTTCCTCACCTTAGAATTGCCCCAAACACTTGGTACCAATGAACCACCACCACCACCACAGAGACTGTCCCCATGTTAAGAACGTTCAGGGGAAATCCTGCAGAGAGGCCAGTCAGATTCTGCGCGAGGCAAACACACCTGGCAGCAGCTCCAGCCACACAAATTTCCAGGCGGATCTCCACCATCATTGAGCACCCAGGGTGAAAAGGAAGGGGGCAGCAAAACACAAGGACATGTTTAGAAAATAATATACACATCCTACATCCTCAATAAGCTTTTATGAATAAACGTATTGATTTTAATCAACACAACTCCCCTGTGATTTATCTTGCTTAATCCTTAGAGAATCATTTTGTCTCTTTTGAAAACGTTTAATCCCTTATTTTCCTAGTGTATATATGTGACATTTACAGAATCTAATGAGTTCTAGAACTACAACGTTCTGCTCACCACACATGCACTGAAACAGGAGTGTGGCAACGGTGGCATAGGGGGAAAAGGGAGGGGCAGCAAAACACAAGGACCTTATAAGACCTTCCCATAAGACCCAGTTTCTCATGTAATGACACCATATATCATTGGGCGGCCACTCCCCATGCTGCTGAACCAGAGACTTTAGACTGATTGTTAGGCCAGAGTTAGGAAAAGGATGTTTCTGTGAACTATGTATCTCCAGGAATAGATTCCCCAATTGACAAGGTTACTAGGAGTCACCGTCCAAAGAAAGCAACTCTCCCAAAGTTTGTGATAGGCTACATGCTCTTTGTTTTAGAATAAGGCCTGAGTAACCAGAACTCATTACTACTACCATGATGTGTTTTTTGGGTGTTTTTTTGGGGTAAAACAGTGCCTCTCTTTTAACCCCACAAGGCCACACTGCTCTGCCTTCAGCAAAGCACAGCCACCGTTCCATTTGTGTCAGGTTTCTCGCCTGCCTTTCCCAGCACCCTTCCCTTTGTTCCCAAGGCCCTCCTTATCCTTCCCTGCTTACCTGCTTCCAAAGGAAGGAATCCGCCTTGTTTTGATGCCAAGAGATTACCAGGTGAAGCACAGAGAGCACGGCTCCTGCCAGCACCGCTGCTCGCATCCGCACGGGCAAGAGAGTGTAGATGATGTAGATGAAGAAGATGCTCCACCAGACCCCTTCGGAGGCGCTGCGTGGAGAAGCCAAGAGGGTGCCCAGTGCCTGCACCCCACACAGCGCTCCAATGACCAGGTAACTCACCGCCCACATGCAGTCCTGGTGGAAGCCAGTCCGATTGCAGAGGACCATGAGGGAGAGGAAGAGGGCAGCTGCCACGGCCAGGGCAGCAGCATAGGGCACGCGGGGCCTGCCAGGCGCACAGTGGAACAACAACATGATGCCACAAGCCAGCACCAAGACTCCCATGAGCACCGTCAATGAACTCTGGTTCATCTGGAAGAAGTAGCGCTGATAGAGGCGCTCCAGCTTGGCTGAGCGGAAGCGCTTGGAGCGGAACACCTGCAGGAGGCGCCGGCCACAATCGCCGGTCGAGAATCCCTTGGCCTCACCCGCTCCACCACCTTCCTCAAAGCCCAGGTCCACCGCTTTGAGTCCCAAATCTCCTGTCCCAGTACTAGATGGAAGAGGGAGTGGCTGTGCCTGCTTCTTGCCATAATGGTCCTCTTGCCACGAACAGTTCAGCCCCAGTCCTCCACTGCCTCCTCGCTCCAGTTCCGGGTCTTGTAGGCAGCTCATGTAGCGTGGGCCGCAAAGTGTGGGGCGATGGCGCTTGGGTCCATTGCGTTCCCCCCAAGCAGTTTTCCGCTCATCCACCTTGGGCACCAGGATGCCACTAAACCAGGACATGCTGTGGGAAATGGAGACACAGAGAAGTTTCACATCAGAGTGGACCTCTTGCAGCAGTCCAGAGATTGCCTCCACTCCTAGGCAGTATGGCCAATATTATGGGAGGTGTTGTCTACTAATATCTACAGAGCCGCACATCTCCTGACCCCTCATTTACACAGATTCACTTCTCAAAGAGGTGACACTTCAGGCCCCTCACCAGGCAATCCAACAGGGGGAGCAGTTCCTGCTTCAGAGATTCAGCCCTAAAGGCGTAATACAGCCCAGTTTTCCTTAGCTCCTCAGGCTTGCCCTTCCCTGCAAAGCAAGAGAGGAGGGTCCTTTATGAAATCCTGGGAATTAGGAACATGCTGAAGCTGTGTCTCATCAGTCCCTGGGGCAAGCTATTTCCCTCTGAAGAGCTGGGCAACAGGGGCAGAGGACAGGGTACCAGGAGAGTTTCCCAACATACAGCCAATGGTGTAATGGAGCCAGGACTTATAGGGCTGAAGCCCCAGGATTCACTGATTAGCAGGGACTATAACACCACCTGCCACTCACCGCAGGCCTTCTTGTTCCCTCTGAGCTTAGGTTCAGAGTTGTTGAGATTTTCCCATGATTGGCATATTACTGCAAGCTACTCCTGCTGCCATGTAACTATATGAGGATGCTTTGGTTGTAAACAGGCAATTAAGAGCCATTCGCTTTACAAAGGTCTGCCCTTCACTTTTTGACATGGGTCAATCCAGCTGCCTTTAATTTTGGCTTCTCCATGCTGTTGTGTTAAACTTCTTGCTGCACTTTTTAATTTACCAGTGCACACAGGGCACAGGTGGCTTCAACCACTATGCATGGTATTCTTTAAGGAGATAGGCTAGGTTAGAGACAGTACTGGATATCAAGACAAAGTTGAGTGGCAGGACACAGGAGATCTTGGGAAAGTCAACTTGTTTGTACTACAACTCTCAGAGTCAATGATGGCTTGGGGAGATGTAGTCCAAGAAGGTAACTTTTCCACACCACATTCAGAGGTATCTGAGAAAGCAAGGTAGGAATGCTAGAATAAGAGGTTAAGCCAATTCAAGCTGCAGGCAAAGAGCACTTATTTCAGAGGCACATTTATGAAGTGTTAGAGAGCAGTGCATGACATGGCAAAAGCCTCTGGAATAGCAATGCGCTCTTGCCAAGCTCAAGAGCCCCTTGGTCTCTACTTCAGACAAAACCCCAGTACCTGAGAGTCCACTGGGAAGTGGGTGCAATGAGGCAACATGGATCCCCTAAGAAAGATGTCAAGCAGCAACTGTGAGAGGGTCCTCCTCCTCCTCCTCCTCACTTCCTCTTCAGCATGGAGCCAGGGCTACAACCTGCAGGGAGAAAAGGAGGTGGTTAGGCTGGTCCTACGTGTCTGATCCCATTCCAGAGTTGCAGAAGCACCCAGAGTACTCCATTCTGCCATTCCCAGGAAATCATAGCTGGGTTTCTCTCTCTTGGTCAATCCATGGGGGCATCACCACAAATTACGTTATCTTCCACTCCCAGTTCTATTCCAGGCATTTTAGAATTATTGAGTTGCTTTTGCAGACTCCAAACAGAAAACTCTACTGAGAGTTAATTACGTTTACATCCCAACTCATTCCCTTCCTGGGTCCTCCCTCTCCTCAATTTTTTCTCTGTCAACACTCCAAAAGTCATAGACCGAAATATAAGGAGGGACAAAGATCTCTCACTCAAAGCTAGGATTTTGCAGCCATAGAATAAAGGGGAATCAAACTGGTGCCAATGCTAGAAATCTGTAAGGGTTCCCGGCCCTGGCCCAAAATGAACATGTAGGATGATCACAACAGCTAACTTCAATTTAACCTCAAACTATTAGGGGTGGCAAGAAGTGTTTAAAAAGATAGAAATGGGATGCATTTTTGGCAATTGCTGCCACAACAAAACAGTGATTAATATATATGCAAATATTACCTCTGAGAAGAGCGACAGACATTTCCCAACATTCCAACCAGCTTCAGGAGGACCAAAAAAAAATGGATTTACGCAAATGGAAGGGATGAGCTATAGAGAAAGGGAAAAGGCTTGAGATCTAGAGTCCTCAGGACCAGGGAACAGGGTTTGCCCTACCTCCTACATGTCTTCCTGCTTGAATCTACATACAGTGGTGCCTCGCTTAACTATTTTAATTGGTTCCAAAAATTCATTGCTATGGGAAAACATCGCTAAGCAAAACGCGTTTTCCCATAGAGATGCTTTGAAAACCGGATAATCTGTTCCAATGGGAACGGATTGCCGTCCTTAAGCGAAAATTGCCATAGGAAACATCGCTAAGCAAAACGCGGTTCCCCCGTTGGAATGCATTGAAATCTTTTCAATGCATTTCAATGGGGGAGGAAAAAAAATCACCAAAAATTTTAAAAAGAGTCAGAACGAAGCCAAATTTTGTTAACAAAGGGGTTATTAAGTGCACTAACGATTTCAAGCACTCTAAACCCTTTTTAAACAATTTAACACCTTTTTAAAATAGCGAAAACGGAGCTGTCAAAAACATCGCTAAGCGAAACAGGGGACCTAAACTGTCATCGCTAAGCGAAGCAAGGTCCCGAGCATCGCTATGCGAAATTCCCCCATTGGAAACATCGCTAAACGGAGCGCAAGATCGCTCCAAAAACCTCATTGCTAAGCGAATACATCATTAGACAAGGCAATCGCTAAGCAAGGCACCACTGTATATGGCTATTGTTACACAGAGACAGTGGGTTAAAAAGTGCTACTGTTCAAAAAGCAAGTAGCCATTCAAATAGGAACTGCCCAGTGCCATTGACTGAGCCTTGCTTTTTGCCATCATACATACCTAAGCAGCTGCATACAGATGGGCTCTCTCATTCAAACACACATCCTGCCATCATAATGACAAGTACTTGGCTAGCATTTATTCAATAAGCTTAATGAACTCTGCCCTAAATAAATGAGTTAGGTCAGTCTCTCTGCTTAAGTAGCACAATGAGATTATTTGTACAATTGCGGTAGGAAGTTGAGTCCCTAGAACAGTGGTTCCCAACCTTGGGTCCCCAGATATTCCTCGACTAAAACTCCCAGAAGCTTTCATCACTAGCTGTACCGGCCAGGACTTCTAGGAGTTTTAAGTCAAGAAAATCTCCCTGCCCTAGAAGGACTAAAGTCTCAATTCCCAACTCCTTTCTTATTTCTTGAACTTGATAGGTCTCTAGAGATTTTGCATCTCTCTACCAATCTATTATCTATCAAACTGCATATCTGTGCATACTCTAGACCAGTGGTTCCCAATCTTTTTAAAGTCAGGACCCTTTTTATAATAGCCAAGTAACCCACAACACCCACCACATTTGCATAAAAATAATTTTTAATAGAGTAAAATCATTCCTTCTCAGAAAGTTGAGGCTTCTTTCTCCCCTAAAGGGCCTGTTTTTCTTACAGACCACAAACACACTAACCTAAACATTCCGCTCCAAAAGGTTGAGGAACCAATTACAGTATTTAACATGGGCTACAGCATATACATAAGGTTTCCTGTGACCTCCAGAAAACACTATGTGACCCTCTTGGGGGTTGCAACCCCCAGGTTGGGAAACACTCCTCTAGAGTGACCAAGAAACAGAAACAATGGTGGGGTTATGCAAATGAAGAAAGACTCAAGATGACAGGTAAATACTCAGTGTCCCTATAGGAAGAGATTTTACTGCAGAAGACATTTAAAAATGCACCCTTTTGCTTACTCCCATGCACATGAATTGCTAACACTTTACTGAGCAATGGATAGGGGTTACTTTTGTTGTGAGGGCCAGAACAACCCTTCTAAAAATACAGGTGCCCTTGTCTCACTAACAGTCCTTAGAGGAATTCGGAGACATGCAGAATGTACCCTCAACTTGATACAAACATCCTCTTTCCATTCATGTATCATCTGCCACAATAAAGAGCATTTTAGTAGCATTATTTAATGGAGTTTAAAAAACACAAATCAACAAAGCTGATATCATACATAGCCTTCTCTGTGGGATTCAGAAGGAAGATCAGCCTTTTCCTAAGCTTTTTCTTTGCCAGCTCATCTGATCCACAATACCCTGATCACGCACCAAGGGTGAAAAAGCCCCTCAACACACAAACACAGCCCTGCTGAGACTCCATTTACTAGAAGCTGGAGGTCAGCTTCCTCTCTTCTCCCAGGCATGCACCCCCTTCCATGAACTCTTGAGACGTTTTGCCCAGTGTGTGACAGAATGTATGAGGGGGGGGGGGGGGGGGAGAGAGAGAGAAGCAGTTCTGGCAACAGAGTCCCCTCCTCCCGCTTAGTTTGCAATTCAGCATGAAACCGAACTGGAATAGTTTTCTCCTTTCAAACTCTTATTTGTCTTGAGTGCCAGCCAAAACCAGGGCTTGTTTTAGCTCCAACCTCTTCAGAGAGTGATTCCAGTGCCCTCCCACACAGTTCTTATCTGTATCCATCCCAGGAGATGGCGTCAACGTAATGACATCACTGCCCTTTATAGTGAGGAACACAGGCCCACTTCAGAAGCTGGACCCCTCTTTACCCCTCATCCCCATAGACTGCAGCCTCCCCGCCCAGTAAAGAATAGGGCAGGCAGACAGCAGGATTCTGGCGCTGGCACATCTGACGTGGGATGGGGCAGCTGGCTCAGCCGACTACTGGCACATGAGGACAGCTTTGTGGTAAGCTGGGAGGTCAAGAGGTTCAGGACATAGCCCATCAAACAGAAACCCTGCTGGAATGGGTAAAATATTCAAGGGGATGGGGAGGGGAGGGGAAGGGACACGACTAAAGAGAAGCACTTCTTGCAGCACACAGCTATCAGTGCTGAATTTAAATTTAAAAAGCATTCCTAAATGGCACAATACAAAACAATAACAGTCTGATAAAACAGCCACAGTATCTCACTGGGGTCAGCCTGTATCTCAGCAAGAATGTGTGCCTTTTGCTCCTCTTTACTCCATCCCCCATGGTTTAAAATGAAAGCACTTCCCCTCTCCCCCCAACACCTCTTCTGTCTGGGGTCCAGAACCTCTCATTAAAGCCTATTCTGAGTACCACCGCACACTATGGGTTACAAAGCAACAGAAGTCTAGCAGCGTTTCAGCAATTAACAAAACAGTATTTGCCAGACGCTTTCATGGACTGCAGCTCAAATGAACACCATGTTACCTGTGCTGGCATCAGTTTAGGAACATGCTTGACATGAGAAAAATGGAAATGCAAGGGGTACAGACCCTGCAGATTACCTGAGCAGTAGATTCTGAACAGACAGTTGTTGGGAGGTGACAAGTATGGGCAAAGTACAGCCCTTTCAGATACAGTCTGACTGCAACTCCCATCAGCCCTAGCCAGCACAGTCCATGGGGAGGAATGCTGGGAGTTACAGTGCAGCAACAACTTGAGGGCTGCAGTTTCCCACCTCATGTGTATTGGGGGGCGGGGGACATCCTTACTGCTCCACACCTTACATTGCCTGGGTGCTTGTGATGTTACACAGGAAGATCTGTAGGTTCTCAGTATCACCCTACAAGTCAGGTGACACCTACAAAACAGAGACACCTACAAAACAGCCAAGACACAGACAGATAAAGGTGGCGAAGCCCACCTGCTCCTCTTTGAGAGATGCGACCTGACCAAGCTGAGAAGCTCAGATAATAAAGTCCAAACCAACTTCTAGAATCAACCAATCCTTGCAGAGGGGCCGCATAAAACCAGTGGTAGGGGAAGGGGGAGTACCAGAAAGGGTAATGAGAAGTCATACATGCTGGCCTTTGCAAACAGAAGACAGGTTTAAAACCCCCCCCCCAAATGTCCATACTCTATGAGCTGCATTTCTCTCACATACACACACACACAGCTGTTTAGCGTCCAAGGCCTTTTCGCCTTTCATTTCTGCATGCAAAGGGAATTGGGGGGGGAGGGTCATATGCATTTCGGGAAGGGGGGCGGCGGGGCGCCCGCGCAATGCCCTTCCCTGGGGAGCCGAATAAACGGCCCCCAGAGAACTTGGCTGGCACTCGGCAGAGGCACCTCAAGGTTCCCCGCACAGGTGCGTCGCCAGGGGCCTGGTCCGAAAACCAAGGCTACCCCCTCCGGCGTCCCCTCTTCGGGGCTACCCCCTCAGTCCCCTGCCGCGTCCTGGTCGCTCCCCCCGCCCCGCCGGGTAGGCCTGGGCGAAGGACGCCCCCGCTCGCCCCGCCAGCCTCCTTGCGGAGGTGGGGACGGCCTAATTCCTCGACCCCTTCCTTCCTTCCTTCCCT